TGCCCCACAAAACTGGGCGCAACCCCCTGCCCCCGCATTGCTTCTGAGCTCATTCCCACGGGACACCCCCAAAACCGACCCTGGAAAGGCAGGAGGGATGGGGGCCTGGGGCACCCGACTCCCCTCTGCAGCCCCTGGGTGCCCCTTTTTCCTTGGGTCCCACAGGTGACGGTGCGCGTGAAGGTGGAGGAGGTGGCCCCAGGGGACGCGGAGGACCCCGAAGCGGTGGGGAACCCACCGAGCCCCCCATCAGAGTCCCCCCAGCTCCCCTCTGGGGATGGCTGGCGGGAGGAGGTGGCCCGGTGCAAGGTCAAGTTTGTCCCCGAGGAAGAGGAGCAGTGCCTGCAGGAAACAGGTAACGGGCTGAAGGAAAGAGGTCTTTCACATACCACACACCCCCCAAAAAAGGTGTGAAGAAGGTGCTGTAGGAGTCAGGGGGGCTTGGAGGTGGTGGGGTGTCTCCTGCGATGGGCTTGGCCCTGTCTGGTCCCCCCCACGGATGCCCCACGGTGTCTTTGCTCTTTTTTGGTGTGGTTTTCTTGCTCTTGGTGGAGGATGAATGAGAGCAAAGGGGGGTAAAGGGCCAAAAATGAGGTCCTGGTGCTGGAAAAACTCTTGGGGCATTGAGAAGAAAGATGTGACCCCAAGAAGGATCCAGATGGAGACTCCTGCAGTGGTGCCACCACATGTGATCTTAAGCCCTGCTGTGGTGTGAGAAGAAAGGTCTCCTTGGGCTCAAAAGCCAAACTGAAGCAAGAAGAAGGGCTGGGAGACGTATGTGAGATGTCCATGCCAGTGTGGGAAGCTGGAAGACGGCCATCTCCTGAGTTGCGGAGAAGCTGGAGAGGGATGGAGATCTTGGAGCAAAGATCATGAGCTCTTGTTGTCCCTGTTTGTCCTCTGGAAAACTTGAGCCCCAAAATCTTGATCCCTTTCTCCAGCATCAGCTTCTCCTTTGTGGTGATGCTGGAAATGCTGCTTTAAGGAGTTGTGGTGTTTTGGGGATGATGGTTGGAGCACGGTGGGCTCCTCTCCGAGTCCTCCTGCAGCCATCCTTGCCTGTCAGACTGGCTGGGCTCCTCTGCTGAGGTGGCCTCATCTTCATCCCTGTCCCAGCATGGCCCAATGGGCATCCATGGATGGATTTGGGGTTTCACTCAACAGTGGGAGCTGGACCATCTCTGCCATTGCTGGAGGAGATCAAGGGTGGTGGGGTCAGAGGAGAAGGGTAGCATCCTCCATTGAGAAACAACTCACAAAGCATCTTCTCCTTCCCCCCCAGCAGATCCCACCATGGCGAGCAGAGACGCAGAGGCATCCATTTTGCAACAGCAAGACATCCCGCACCCACCCAGCACCCTCCAGGACATCCCGGCAGTCGGGACCCCCGCCCGGAGAGGGACCCACCATCGACAGATCCCACGGGATCCCACCACCTTCCCACAGCCCTTTGCCCAAGGTCCATCCAGACCGGCGGAGGACACCAGGAGCCCAGAGAAGCCCTGGGTGAAGCGGGAGCTGTCGGCACAGGCGAAGGACCGTCCATACCCCTGTGGCGAGTGTGGCAAGAGCTTCGGCCGGTTGACCCACCTGAAGACCCACCAGCGAACCCACACAGGGGTGAAGCCCTACGCCTGTGGGGCTTGCGGCAAGAGCTTCGGCCACCTCTCCACCCTCACCACCCACCAACGGCTGCACACGGGTGAGCGTCCCTACGCCTGTGGCTCCTGCGGCAAGACCTTCACCAACCCATCGGACCTCAACAAGCACCAACGGTCACACACGGGCGAGCGACCCTACCCCTGCGCCGCCTGCGGCAAACGCTTCAGCCAACAGTCCAACCTCACCATGCACCAACGGAGCCACACCGAGGAGCGACCCTACCCCTGCGGCGCCTGCGGCAAGAGCTTCAAGTACTTGGCAGACCTGACGGTGCACGAGCGCTCACACACGGGCGAGAGACCCTTCCCCTGTCCCCACTGCGGGAAGAGCTTCAGCAACAAGTCCTCCCTCGCCCGGCACACACGCATCCATGCCCGGGCGGCTGCCAGGGACAAGTGATGGGGTTTGGTGGTGGGGAGGATGAGGAGGGTGGCACCGCTTCATCCTGGTGGAGGAGGTGGTGATGGGTGACCACCATGGGGGACAGCTGAGGTTGGGTGGGTGAGGTGGACCTGGTGGCCAATGCTGGTTTCCTTGCCAGCTGGCACTGCGCAGCTGCTGTGGATGGACCGGGCAGCCCAGGGGAGACACAACATGGATGGGGGTAAAGACAAGCTGATGACTGATGTCCCCTGTGAGGCTGGTGGCTCCAGGATGCAGCTCCTGGTCCCGAGGAGATGCAGTATGGATGGTGGGATGATGAGCTGGTGATAGATGTCCTCCATGAGCCTGGTCGCTCCAGGACGTGTCTCCCTGGTCCTGGAGGAGTTGCAACATGGCTTGCAGTAAAGACAAGCTGATGGCTGATGTCCCTCACGAGTCTGGTGGCTCCAGGATGGTGTCCCTTAGATGTGACACGGACAGGGATGAAGACGAACTGATGACTGATGTCCCCCAGGAGCCTGGTGGCTCCCTGGTCCCTCACCCATCTCCTCCAGGCATGTCCGTCTTCCTCTCCAATTGCAACTCACCAGTTTTTCCCCCCTTTTTGGTATTTATTTATTGCAGCGAGTGCCGTCGAAAAAACCCCACCACCCCCCCGCCCCATGCACAGGGCCTTACATTTCGGAGACCGACCGACCTACCTCACCGGCCGCTTGCCCGGATGCCCGGGCCTCGACGCGGGCGCCAGGGCGGCTCGGGCACACCTTCACAGCTCTGCTTCCCTCCTCCCGGCAGGTTTGCCCCCTGCCAATTTTTGCCCCCCCTTTGCTGTAACGACTGTTTTAGCCACCTCTCTGCGCTGCTTTGTGGTTTCTTTT